TATATATATATTACCATATGCATCTGACTGTTTACTCTTTTCAAACATACATGTGGTGTATTACTTATGAAACCATGTAATAATACATTATTTTGTCACTTATATATATCTTATGAAGTAGTATTTAGTAGTAGTAAGAACTGATCATTTTTAGAAGATAAGAAATCTAAGGAGATTTCCTCTCTATCTAACAAGCTAGTTTCTTTTGGCCTTAAATCAATAGCGATGCCTATAATTAGTAAAGTGAGGGGCAATGGGAAAATCAGGATCAGGTTTGTCAACACCATCTTCACTCCTAAGCCAATAAGTCTGAGGAAGAGAGGCTGCACCATTTGGTATATCATCCATTACTCGTTCTTGTCCTACTGGAAAATATATTCCTGTTCGAGGATGTGGCATCCACCACGTCGACCCTTTCTTTATTTCCTCCTCTTCCTCCCCCTCGTCGTTCCTCCATATTTCGTCTCTCCCTGAAATAAACGCCCTCATCCCACGTTTAATTTGGTGCATTTGTTGTGACCTGCATCAACCATTCTAACTTTTTTAGTCACAAGTATATATATGTATACGAGACGTGATTTCAACCATATATTATAACTTTTTATCTGTTATAACAGGTAAAAAATGGTTCTAATCTGCTCGGGCAGATTTTAGGGTGGTTAAGTGGGTAAATATTTAGCTATATATGCTTATTGACGATATAAACGCCACTTCTAACTTATTTGGCATGCCTACTTGGCATTCTGGTCAAATTTACTGAGTTTTTTTTTGTTCCGAATAAAGTGACAAAAATTAGTTTAGTGACTTTTCTTTAAAAAGAATCGTAAGTTGGAAACAATTTGAGAAGTCCAATCGTTTTTTGACCTTCCATTTATTTTTATTTTTTTCTGTCAGTAATTTTATCACAATGTAATCAAAATACAATCTATATATATAGCTAGGTCTTTGTATATCCAGGTTAAGGATGGCTTGTAGCACGGAATGTCGTGTTAATTGCAAGAATTGAGTACTTGTATATCAATTATTATGAAATCAAGGAAGATATATATATCCTGCTAGCATTTGTGAATGATCTAAGATTAAAGAGCTAATAGTACCGACCACTAACTAAGATAATAAGAAGCACAAGGTAAAAAATTATATATACTAAGCAAAGCAAATTGAGAGAACAAGATCTCTAACCTAATTAGTCGTAATCTCTGTGGAAACGTAGTTATTCCAGCTGCAGTTATAGGCATCTGTTACGGTTGATAAACCGAACTAGAAAGATGTAGCAATGTAATGTTTGTAGGGTATTAAGGCTTATATATACAGGAGAAATTGACAAGCTATATCTCAAGTGTTATGTCGAAGGAAAAGAATATGATTCTGTGCTACTCTAGGGTAAAGGTTCCTAATGAAGTTTGCAAATCTTGACAGCCACAAAAAAAGTAAAAAAGCAAAGGTACTTTTCGATGTGCTTATTTGTAATCTCGTCATTTATTGTTTGTTATGATAAAGTGTAAGTTTAATTCTTTACTTCGTGTCTTATTTAACCGTTTGGACATACATGATTATTGAGATTACCTAATTATGTAAAGTGGCTAGTTAGTTATAAAGTGGTTAGTTAGTTGCAAAATGTCTATGCCAGACATTCAGTTAATTAGATAGAATATTATGTATATATATTCATTACATGTATCAATAACACGTGAGGTTCATTTCCCAGTCTTTCACTTTCTTTCTTCTCGAATGTTCTCTCTCTTCGACCTCCATTGTTACTCAAGCTAAGCTCGAGCTAGCTTTTACTTCGAGCAATTAATATGGTATCAGAGCTTAGTTATTCGTATATATCATCTTTCAATTATCCATTTCTCCTTTGTGTTCGTTGATTTTGACCTTTACCTTAAATCGATCGATTTCTGAGAGCAGTCTCATTTTTGCCCTAATTGATTGTCTGAGAAGGGGCTTTTTCTCTCAAAGTATGATACTCACACAATTAATCTCAATCACTCATGGCTGTTGATGATTAGAGTGACGTGGTGAGCACAGGAGTGAACATCGGAGTTCCAGGAAATTCCAGAATCGATCCAAGTGATCCCTTGTATCTGCACCCGTCGGATAATCCTGGTGCTATGCTCGTTTCCATTCCCTTAAGTGGAGTTGGTTATCATTCATGGAGGCGTAGTGTGTTGCGCGGCCTGTCAGTGAAAAACAAGATAGAGTTTATAAACAACGAATGCAAGCGTCCGTACCCTCACTCACCCACATTTCGTCAATAGGAGCGATCTGATGACATGGTGACTTCATGAATCCTTGATTCTCTGTCGAAGGAAATCGCAGATAATGTTGAATATGCAAATGATGATGTGGAGCTGTAGATTGAGCTAGAAGATCGGTATGAGCAGACAAATGGAGCTCGGCTGTATCAAATCCAAAAAGAAATAAACGATACATCTCAGGGAACTCTTGATATAACCAATTACTACAGCAAGTTGAAGAAGCTCTTCTCACAGTTATCCTAAATCCCTATTGAATTACTTCACAAGAGTAAACCAACATACTCTCACATGAGAAGTTTTGGATGCTCGTGCTATCCTTCTGTACCAAAAGTGCATAGAGACAAGTTTGAACCTAGAATATCCCCACACATATTCATTGGTTATTCCTATGGTGTCAAAGGGTACAAGGTCTTAAGTCTTGCCACTAAGATGATATCTATTTTCAGAGATGTTGCCTTCATTGAAAATGTGTTTCCTTTTGCTATATCACCTGAAAATACTTCATTTTCTTCTGTTCTTAATTCTGCTCCCTTCATTGATTATATACAAAAGGGCACTGAACATGCTTATGATAGTGATGATGGCCCTAGTGTTACACATGTCCAATCCCAACACCTTGAGTCCAATACTAGTTCAACCAGTATGAGATCCTCCGGTCCCTTATCACAACTTGGAACACAACAATCTTCAAGCCACACCTCATCACCAATTGCATATCAACTTATCAACACACCTGCTGACTTAAGGAAATCACAAAGACCACACAGGACACTGTGTATTTATAAGACTCCCTATACTCACTCCCTAAGCTAAAATCATCACCATTTGTCGCTCACAACTGTTGTGCTTTTCTCTCTTAATGCCTTGTTCTCTAACAATCATCATGTAACCTCTAATGTCTTTAATCCAGAGAGTCAAAGTCTTGTGAGAGACATCTGCAGTGACAGTGAATCCTCATCATATGAGGAGGCAGTTATGAACCCTGCTTGGCAAACAGCTATAAACCAAGAGTTTGAGGCATTACATGTCAATCATACTTGGGATTTAGTTCCCTTACCTGTTGGAAAGAAAGCTATATGATGTAAGTGGTTGTATAAAATAAAACATAAAGCAGATGGTAGTGTAGAAAGACTCAAAGCTAGACTGGTTGTAAAAGAATATACTCAACAGGCTAGCATTGACTACACAGAAATATTCTCCCATGTAGTTAAGATGACAAATGTGAGGTCCCTAATAGCCATTGCTGTCAAGAAAGGGTGGCACATATCCCAGTTGGATGTAAACAAAGATTCCTACATGGGGACCTATATGGGGAAGTGTATATGGAGGTCCCACAGGGCCTAGCAGTAGATAACTCAGAGTTGGTTTGCAAACTCAACAAATTTCTTTATGGCCTAAAACAGACAAGCAGGCAATGGTATGCCAAACTAACTGAGGCTTTATTCAAGGGGTTATACACATTCAATGTATGACTATTCTTTATTTTACAAGAAAACTGAGCACTCATCTGTTTATATAGCAGTGTATGTAGATGATATTATAGTCACATGGAATGACATTGTGGAGATTGAAGATTTAAAAGCATTATTATACAAAAGCTTCAAAATCAAGGATCTAGGAGACTACACTACTTCTTGGGACTGGAGGTTCTTTACAAAGATAATGGTGTAATAATATGCTAGAGAAAGTTCACTCTTGATCTGTTAAAGGAATACCAGTGCATGGATTATAGCAGCTTCAGCTCTCCACTAGATCCCACTGTGAAGCTCAAAGCTAAGAAAGGAGAAACATTAACAGATCCCACTTACTATAGAAAATTGGTAGGGAAGTTCAATTTCCTCACCAATACCAGACTAGACATAGCTTATAGTGTATAGCACTTGAGCCAATTAATGGATGACCCCAGAGAACCTCATCTAAAAGCAACCTTTCATCTGCTTAGACACTTAAAAAAGGGTTCCTACCTTGGGCATATTCTTGTCTAAGGATCCAGACTATACAATCAGAGCCTATTGTGACTCTGATTGGGCAGCATCTGTAAGTGGTTACCTTGTGCTGACGGGCAGTAGTCGAGTTAGTTAGAAGTCCAAGAAGCAGGACACAATCTCATTGTCCTCTGCAGAAGCACAATACAGAGCCTTGAGGAAGGTAGTAGGAACTGGTGTGGCTCAGTAGATTGTTTGAAGAACTCACAGTCCCTTTTCCCAAGCCCATTGCATTGTTTTGTGATAGTCAGTCTGACATGCACATAGCTGGGAACCCTGTTCCATGAGAGAACCAAACATATAGAAGTTGACTGTCACTTTGTGAGAAGCATGTTACAAGAGGGATTGATTTCACTACATCATGTGGGAACTACAGACCAACTTGCAGATGTTCTTACTAAGGCCCTGACAAGAGTCAAGCATTCAGCAGATCTGCACAAGTTGGTAGTGTTTTCCACACCACCAACTTGAGGAGGGAGGGGGATATTGAGATTACCTAATTATGTAAAGTGACTAGTTAGTTGTAAAGGGTTAGTTAGATGCAAAGTGGCTAAGCCAGACATTCAGTTAATTAGATTGGACATTATGTATATATATTCATTACAGGTATCAATAACACGTAAGGTTCATTTTCCATTATTTCATTTCTTCCTTCTAGAATGTTCTCTCTCTCATCGACCTCCATTGTTGCTCAAGCTAAGCTCGAGCTAGCTTTTACTTCGAGCAATTAACAATGATTTCAATTTTAGGTATTATCTGTAGATCAATATTATTTGTTTTACAATTTAAACAATTATTTTAATTACAAGTTGAATGAAGCCTAATTTGATAAACTAATTTGAGAAGTATTTCTTTCCACTCATAAAATTTTAACTTTTTTTTTCAAGTGAAATTCATGTCTAAAACCAATTTCACAACTTTCGAATAAATAATTTTTTTAACTTCAATTTCAAATAGTATTTTTTTTCCCTTCAATTTCAACCAACTATCGTTCAAATGCTTTGGAGTGTTCACCACGTATTCGATTATTTTCGTGAACTTTAAGTCTTTTTATTTAAAAAGATATTGATACGACAACTAATTTTTCCGTACATGGATAGAATGAGGAAGATTATAGACCTTCACTTTTGGTACGCGGATACCCAGGAGCACCATCAGAGGACGGAGATAAAGAAGATTTTCGATACTCTTATCACCAATGTTGTTCTTTAAAGTACATAAAGAACATGTACTATTCTTTTATGATATGATTGGTAGTAGAATTCAGAATCCATCAACAACAGATTGACCCTTTATTACTATTCTCAAGTATAGTAATATAATATGGTTCGTCACTACTAAATTAAGTGCTGATATGGTTTGAGATTTTTTCACTAATTTTAAATAGAGGATTCAAATTCAAATTTAAAATAAAAAAACTTTGAAATTTTTATCCTGTTGATGAGCTTATTTAGTATTTACCACGAATTTGAATTAATCGACAATAAAACGTGGATACTAAATGAATTAGTCGAAATAGAAGTACAAGCATCGCTTACGTATCCACATTCCTGCACAATTGAGCTTTTATTACATATATCAGCATTTTGTTACCAATTAACCAGACCCACTTGGTTCTGTATCCTGTTATAATCAGTCTAAACTGCACAATCGTGCCACTCCCCTCATACTATTTTAGTTAAGCTAATAGATGTAGTAGAACTTAGAGTTAGTGGTTTGTCATGTTAAAGGATGGACAAATAGAATGTTATGTCATGGGCGGCTTTCCAGCCATGACCCATGACCCCTTGGGCGCGCCCCGTGGCGTCCTAGCAAGCCTCCCAATGCCTAGCGCCACGGACGGCCCCGTGGTCTTGGCCGCGCCAAGTGACAAGCGCGCAGGTGCCTCTGTCGCCCCACCGATATCCCTCGCCAGCACCAAGCCGCAGGCAGAAGCCAACAGCGCCGTGCGCGCAGACAACGCCGCGCGGGCAGACCGTGATGCCAAAGACACTGCTGCTGACAACGGACCTGTTGTTGCCTTATAGAAAACTAAGTCATTTTCATTG